AAGGAAGGAAGGAAGGAAGGAAGGAAGGAAGGAAGGAAGGAAGGAAGAAATGTATGGGGAGGGAGGAAGATAAATGAGTGAATGGGGAGGGAGGAAGGAAGGAAGAATTGGATGGGGAGGGAGGGAAGGAAGGAAGAAATGGATGTGGACGGAGGGGAGGAAAGGAAGGAAGGAAGGAAGGAAGGAAGGAAGGAAGGAAGGAAGGAAGGAAGGAAGGAAGGAAGGAAATCACTGATGATGTTATCTAGTTTGGTAATGAAATGTCTGCAAGGAAACCACCAAGCTCAGAGAGCACCAAGGACCTCATTGTACTTCTCCTACTCCACCACCACCACCTCCTCCTCCAACCCCACCTCCCTGTAGTACTGATAATGAAACATCTGCCAAAAAAACCCTCACAAGCTCAGAGAGCACCAAAGAACCCCCCAATCCCCAAAGGTACCCAGCCTTGCTCTGAGAGGTACCCATGGCTAGTTGTTACAACCTGTAGGCCATACCACATGTCCAGAATCTCTTGCCACAGATGCTGCTGCGAGAAACAAAGAAAGAATTTCACGTTGTGTTCTTTTAGTAAGGAAATGCGTCAACTCAAAACCAGAAGAGTTTCCCCAGTTCTCGTCCTCCTCAGGGGAAAATCCTGTGGAGACCCTATCTCTTTTGTCAGACAGATAGATAATGAGTGTCAACAGTGGTGTGGAGTGCAGAAAAGTATCTTTGATAGCCTCCTGGGTGTATCTCCTATCTTCTGTTTTTCTGCGCCAGGCAAAGAAACAAGGGAATGTTTAAGACCCAGTGAACGGCACATATAAGGTCCAGCGCAGGTAATCTGGCTTTTATTATATTCTCCTTTTTTTTTTTCCATATTGCCAATTGTCTGTCTGGAGAGGCAGCCGTGTTTTTGAAAGGGCCAGTAATGAGGACGCACAATGAATGATTTGATGGAGTAATTGGAAAGAAAAGCCATTTCCTTTCGCTTTGTTAATACGATCTCTTCTTTCTCCCAGGGTAAAGGTGAAGAGAGGGGTGAAAATCTTCAGCATCCGAGCCAGCAATCCTTACATTTGGGAAGTCCAAAAGAGCATGGATTATTTTGGGAAGAATTCCCCAGCAGTGATATTTTGCCAGAGAAAAACAGCCGGAAAAAGGTAGGCCTTGATTTTGATTTCAGAGGAACCATTTTCAGAAGGATGCTAGCTGTCCTGCCCCCTTTGGAGTCTGAGTGTGAGGGGGAAGATGAACAGCTGACAGTGGGAGGGTGCACTCCATTGACTGTGGAGGAAACTGGGGAAGAGCAAAGTCAGGCTGGGCAGAGCAGGGGTAAGGTAGAACAAGGGAGAGAGAGTTCAGAAGAAGACCCAGACCCACCCCCTCTTCATGCTAGGGCACGCAGGGAAGAATGGAGGAGAGAGCAATGTGGGTTGCATACCTTACGAGGAAGGAAAGGGCCTCGATTCCCTTCACAAGGCACGCCGGGGGGATGGAGTTTAAAGGAGAGGCAGTTGGGAGGGGCGTTTGTCGGGAACAAACACTGAATTCATCCAGCGTTAAGAGTTGTGGCCTGGATTCCAGGAATTCCTCCTGTCTGTGTGAATTATTGTCATGCTTCTGTGTGCTTATCTTGCCTTGCTGGAATTATTGGACTCATTAACTTGCCCTGCTGGAGTGACTGATTGCCGTCATTCTGCTTACAGCATTTGGACTGGAGTATCTGCAGCCAGAGGCTGTTGCAGGTTCATGGGAGAGTTTTTCTCCAGGTTGGAGAGTAACTGGAACATTGGCAGCAAAATTGGATCAAATAAAGAGACTCATATCTGTTCTCTGGCTGTGTTGCCTTCGTGCCATGGCCCGGGTCATCACAATAGCTGAGATCATCTACATATTCTTCCTGGGAAGGATGATTTCCCACGACTGCCTTCCCTGGAAATACAAGTAGTCCTCGACTTATGACTAGAATGGAGCCCCAAATTTCTGTGGCTGGGACAGTTGTTTGGGGGATTTTACACCATTTTACGACCTGTCTTACGACCCTTGCTAAGTGAATCGCTGCAGTTGTTCAGTTGAATCTGTTTGCCAGAAAGTTGCAGGAGGGGATCACCTGACCCCTGGTTGCTACAACCATCATAAATATGAGTGAGTTGCCAAGGCGTCCGAATTTTGATCACATGACCATGGGGTTGCTACGACAGTTGTAAGTTTGAAAAATGGTCGTAAGTCATTTTTTTTAGTGCTATTGTATCTTTGGTCGCTAAATGAATAGTTGTGAGGACTATCTATAGATTTGTTGTGTGGTCCTTGATTCCTCCTTCCCTTAAAACACGGAGAACATGTGATACTATAAGAGCCCTGGTGGCATAGTGGTTACAATGCAGTATTTCAGACTAACTCTGCAGACTGCCAGCAGTTTGATCCTCACTGGCTCAAGGTTGACTCAGCTTTCTGTCCTTTTGAGGTCAGTAAAATGAGGACTCAAATTGTTGGGGGCAAGATGCTAATTCTGTAGACCGCTTAGAGAGGGCTGGAAAGCACTGTGAAGTAGTGCTTTTGCTATTCCTCTTCTTTTTCCTCCCTCCCTCCCTTCTTTCCTCCCCTAGTGTGCAGTGGTTAGAATGCAGTGGTTTGATCCTCACCAGGGTCAAGGTTGACTCAGCCTTCCATCCTTTGATTGTTGGGGGGTGATAGGCTGACTCTGTAAACTGCTTACAGAGGGCTGTAAAACACTGTGAAGCGGTATATAAGTCTAAGCGCTACATGCCTGACTTATCGATAGTTTGGAGGTGTCTTATCCATTTGCAAAAGGACTGATGGGCTTTGGTATGAGTAAGTGAACTACTCGTAGTTGCATGATCATCAAATATCAGTATCCATGCTGGGTTGGCTGGATCAGAACCAGAGGCAGGAGTGGGATTCTACCGGTTTGAACTGGTTCTATGGAACGGGTTGTTATGATTCTGAGCAGTTTTGGAGAAGGAAACAGTGAAGCTCAGAGAGCACCAGTTACTCACCCCTGTTCTGAGAGGTACCCATTGCTAGTTGTTACAACCTGTAAGCCATATATGTCTCCAGAATCTCTTGCTAGAAATTATGCTGCAAGAAACAAGGAAAGAATTTCACATTTCTTTCTTTCTTTCTTTCTTTCTTTCTTTCTTTCTTTCTTTCTTTCCTTCCTTCCTTCCTTCCTTCCTTCCTTCCTTCCTTCTTTTCTGATGTTTTGATCCCCAAAAGCAGCCTTTCTCAATCCTAGCAATTTGCGTGGGCATCAGCTCCCAGAATTTCCCAGCCAGTAACTTTAAGATGCATGGACTTCAACTCCCAGAATTCCCCAGCCAGTGTGCTATCTGGGGAACTCTGCACATCTTAAAATTGCTGGGCTGGAGAAATGCTGAGCTAAAGGAAAGGGAGAAAAGGAAGTAGTGTGTGCGTGTGTGTGTGAGTGTGTGTGTGTGTGTGCATATGGGGCAGAGGGGGGGGGGTGAGGGAAGATGCTTTGAATTTTGTCCAACTCCCTTGTACCGTCTCTTCAAATTAAGTGCTTTAAAAGATGAATGCCTGGCTAATTGCAATCCTTGCTTTGTAGCTTGAATTCTCCAGGTGGAATTAAAAATGCTTCCTTGTCAATCTTGTTAGTGAATTTTCAAGCCATGTTTCAAGATGTAGATTTCCTCCCACACTGGTGATGTGAAACTTACCTCTTGAGCAGTCAGCATTTCAGAAGCTGGCTTATTCTGTTAGGACACCCTGGTGGTGAGCCCTCTCTGATTTTCTTCTGTTCCGGCTTTACTCCGCTAGTCATTGCCAACTCTAGGGGGCGTTGGTCATCTCAAGGCCATTGAACCAGCGCCGTCCAAAGATGTTTCCATGGTCATGTGCCAGCATGATGTCACAGCATGCTGTTCCCTTCCAACTGAAGTGGTACCCGTTTATCTACTCGCATTTGTGCACTTTTAAATGGCTAGGTTGGCAGGAGCTGGAGTGAGAATGGGAGCTCACCCCATCGTGTGGCGCTTGGGTCTTGAACCTGAATTGCTGGTTTTCCAAGTGACAAACCCAGTGTCTTAACCGCTGAGCCACCACGCCACCTGGAATGAAAGTGGTCCATTTTCCTCAAGACTTCAACAAACTGGCACTTGGCCCACGCTCTATCCAAAGCTTTGGAGGGACCACCCAGTTCCAAAGGACTGAGAGGGACCGGATGAACCACAAAAGAGAACAAATCTAAATTGGGTTTGTTTTCATTTACACTCCGCTTGATTGAAAAGGACATCAAGATTCCTCTACTGGGTCAGATCGTAGAGGAAGTTTGATGAGGAAGTTTGGACCAGTGATGGGATCAAGACCCATGTTTCTTCTGACCTTGGAGTTTGCACTAGTCCACCCATCCATGTCCAATTATTATGTCTTTGGGTGAGTCCTGCCTTAAAGAAAGAGTACAGAGAGTCCTCATTTAATGACCACTAATTAATTGATGAGAAGTTGATCCCCTCCTCTCTGTGGCAGCCCCTCAAATATTGGAAGACTGCTCTCCTGTCTCCCCTGGTCCTTCTCTTC